AAAAAGGGGGGGGGGGGAAGAGTAAGGAAAAAAAGAAGGGAAAAAACCCTCCTAAGGTGGACTGGCACAGTTTGCTGCAAAGTTGTGCGACAGACACCTCTTCCCTGGGAAGTGTGTTCCGCAGGTCACCAGCAGCCCCGCCTCACACCTCCATCGGAGCAGAGCCCTGCTCAGCACCCGCCACTATCACACTGCTAGGGCCTCGCCAAGCTGACTTCACCAGTGGATGCTTCCAACACACTGCCAAAACTCCCCTGGGTTCGAGTGGCGTGTGGGTGAGCAGAAAGGACCTTCTACAGCCTGGCCTGCGTGGCTCAGCAGTTGAGCATCAACCTAGGATCCAGGAGATGCTGGTTCAGTTCCTTGTTAGGGCACAGGCCCGGGTTGCGGGCTTGATCCCCAGTTGGGGGCATGCAGGAGGCAGCCGATCAATGACTCTCATCATTAATGTTTCTCTCTCTCTTTCCCTCCTCTCCCTTCCTCTCTCTAAAATCAATAAAAATATATATTTTTTTAAAAATGAAAGGACCTTCTCCAGGGCTGTTAAGGGGCGCCAGGTTAAGTCGTCAGCAATATCCCCACACACTCGTATACTGAGGATGCCGCACTTGCAGGCAAGCCCCACACAAACCACACACACGGTTCACAACGAAGCGTATTTCACAGCCAGGAATAGGGGGAAACATAGGCACCAGGAGACTCCATCCAGCGCTCAGAGTGGAAATGGTGTAACTTAAAATAACCCCCGGGGCACCTCAGTGAAGGCCTCACGGCCACCCTGCCACCCAGAGGCTGAGTCCCAGTACTGCACCCAAGTCCTGCTGCCCAGGCCTGGGGACAAGGCTGTGCCGTACCTGGGGTGGTGGTGGCTGGCACACTCGAGGGACATAGTCTGGAAGCCAAACCAGAGCAGACACCCCAGTGTATCATGTGCAGCTTCCTGAGCTACTAGGAAACATGTCTACCCAGCCACTCAATGCAAATAGTGAGATTTCAATGTCTGAGCTGTTTTTTAGGTAAATCATTTATATCAATACTTCAAAGCAATGGTCAGCACAGGCTGCCAGCAGTAGCCCCAAAGGACTGAGCGGTGCTTCCTCAGCTCACTGCAGGGCTCAGGCACTCACGCCACCTGGCAGGTGCCCCAAGAACTGCGTGTGGGCTGGGAACACAGCAGGGCCAGCCTGTTCCTGAGCCGCAAAGATGGCTTTAAAAAAGACGATGACATGGCGGCCACTGTGTACACATCAGCAACAAGACATTTATTTTCCAGTCTTCAAAACAGACTAGAACAATAAAAGAAGCAACTTCCTAATGTTCGTCAGTAATAATCAGTCTGGTGCCCTGCCCAGTCACAAACCACGCCTGTCTGCGCCACCACTGAGCACAGACCAGGGAGAGGCCTGTCTACTGAAGCTTCCCATTCATGATGCTCAGAGGAATGGCCTGTGCCAACAAAGTGCCAAGAGGGCCTGCCTTCCCTCAGTGTGAGCACTGCAGGCAGCACCGACCCTGCACTTCCCTGGCCACGGGGACTAGGCCAAGTCCCTCTCCTGCAGGCACGGGGCAAACACTGCCCTGACGCAAGCTGGAATATGCTACAACTGTGAGGTGTGGGCTACCGCCTTGGCACCCACGCGGTGGCCATCTCTGTCGCATCGAACAGGCCTGCGCAGCCCACTCGGGTTGTCCTCAGACACCAGAAGTTACGGAGACACTGAACAAGTTCATGAACCCACTCAGTGCCTCCAAGGGCTCTCCACCCTCTATGGAAGCAGACCACAGGCCTGACTCTCATGGAGGCTGATGCTGCGACATCACTCCCACTCCCAGGCCCCAGACAAGGGTCCTTTTACTACGTGATCGCTAGGATCTAAACGTCAAGTGTTGTTCAAAGGGTTTGTGTGTTTTACTCTGACAGCCAACACCAGGAGTTGCGTTGAAGTCCTGGCAGGAAAGAGCTGCTCCCCGCAGCAGCCTCTGCAAAGGTGCCGGCTCCTCATCCGGCCGGTACCTCAGGGACTCAGGGTCACATGGCATGTGCTCCCCCACCCCCGCCAGGCAAACGGACGTAATTACCTTCCGAAGACTGTGCTTGTCTGTCCTGAGTCTTTTCCTGGGCGTGTCCTCAACTTCCGTGTCTTCTCTAGGGTCCTGTGTCCTCTTCGGGTGGGCTCTTTTTTTCCCATTTAAGTTACCTAGGAATGGGGACGGGAAACTTCTGTGAACACTGCACCACCGCAGTGAGCACCGCGGGCTCTCATGTGGAAACCCAGCCCGAGCGTCTCCTGTGGTCCCCACTCCAGGGCCGAACGTTACAGATCCAACCTCTGCATTTTGTGACCTGCAAGGGACTGTGTTTCCGGAAACATCAAATTCTGAAAAACCCTTGCCTAATCTAGAGGTTAGAGTGGTATTCACTATATGTTTTAATGTACTATATAGCATTAAATTTAAATACAGTCCAGTATTTTTAAAAAAAATCTTTACCTACTAACATCAAAGACTAGTGGAATTTAAGCTGAGCTGTAAAAAATACTCAACTTGCTACGTTTTATACATCTCCTTAGAGAAGCACCCTGAGTAGCAACATCTGCTTGCATCTGCAAGTCCAGGGCTGTCTGCGATCCGCCTCATGGCAGGCACTGCCAGGACAACCAGCCAACCCCACACCTTGGTGCCCAGACAGAGAACTGGAGTGCAGACTCTAGAGAGATGGTTAACTTGGACACACCAGTATTTACTTTAGCACAAACCCACCCTTCCATTTGCACAAGCACTTCAGAGGAACAGGGTTTATTCCTGGACTCATCTAACATCACCCAGGAGGGCCTGACTCCCGGGTGGAACAGAGCACACTGGCGGTCCGTGGTATCCAGCTGTGCCCAGGGCCGAGACAGAGTGCTGGCCTCACAACTGGTCAGGCCAGACTGCTGACAGCCAGCCTGCTGAGTGGCCTCTCGGAACCCTGCTCCTGGCCACAGCCCAGCGGGCTGCCCCAAGGCCACCCAGGAAGAGGCCTGCAGAGCGGTGGGCAATGGGACCTGCTCAGCCCTGAGACCAGCTCCGTCTGCACTGCCCATCAGCAGGTGCTCACTAGGCTACAGACACCTCAGCCAACTCCGGCGCCTCCCCTCCCTGCACATAAAGACCCCTTTATGAACGAGGCAACCACTGTTTCTTACAGAAATAGCCACGTGGCTCTGTCTGAATTCCTGACACTAAGACCAAGGGACGTGGACACCACGGACAGGACTCTGGTCCTGGTGGTCAGAAACAGGGTCTCTGAAGGGAGGCAAAGGGCATCTAGGAGGGCACACCCCTGATGTACACAGGGTGGAAACTCGCCTTCCCCTCAGCCTGCTCAGTACCAGTGACAGTCCAAAACGACCCAATGTGACACAACCACATTCGCTCACACTCACTTTCCAGGGAAACTCGGCTCACCCAGGGACACGCTCTAGACCTGGCGTCCTGAGGGAGTCAGCCTGGACTCCTGCCTCTTGAAGCACAGAGGTCCTAAGTGGCCTCACGACTCTAAATCACAGTGTTTGCAGCAAACACTGAACAAATGGACCAAATTCAACACTGATATATGAGATGCTAACGTGGAGATCTAGAAAGGCCCATAAATCAAGGTGGGAGGCATGCGCGTGCAAAGGGACCACAGCCGCGCTCGCCACAAAGGCACACACACACAGTAGCTGCATTACTTGGGTCCTGGCCTCCTCCTAGGGGGGGGTCCTGGCACATTTACACTCGCCTCGCCAACTCTCCCAGGACAAACCTGAGACAGAATTTTCCTGTATTTTAAACTGACACCCAATACATCCCCCTTATTTTTACACGAAAATGTCAGTTACCACGTGTGTCTAAGCACACAGACGACAGGGCCACACACGTTTCCAGAGCACAGTGAAGCCTTTTCTAACCTGAGGCCAAGGAAGAAGAGCCAGGCACCCAGAGGTAAGGTCAGCTCACAGCCACTGTCCCTGCCCTGTGAGCTCTCCAGCAAACAGGCCAAGAAAGCCCCTCCACTCGGGCAGACACGCAAGGGATCCGCAGGCCAGTGAGGCTGCAGGGAGCAGCTCCTGGGACACGAAGGAGGACACGCAGGGGGCAGAGGTGCCTCACTGTGACCACATGCGCTCTGGTGGTCAGCTCAGTACCGTGGGTCAGAGCTGGGGAACGGGTGCTACTCTTCCATCCCTGGACTGTGCCCTGCTGGCCACACTGCATGCACCACACCTAAGGGTTTACCAGAGTCATCCTCGAACGGGGACGTGGCACGAACAGCAAACTTGGTGTTGTAGCGGGATTTCTGCTTCTCGTTGAGCATGTTCCATTGGGATCCCAGCAGCTCTTCGATCTCCTCCCCGGAGGCGTCTGGGTGCTCGGCCACCACCTGTGAGCACAGGGAAGGCGTGGTGAGGGGGCCAAGCACCGAGAACTCACCTGGGTTTTGCTCTGCACAAAACCCAATGCATAGACAGCCCCTTAGAACTAACGGGGCCTCTTCATTCCCGTGTCACGAACTGCCCCACAAAAGCTCCAAAAAGGACTCCTTTATTTATATATATATCCTCATGCGATATTTTTTCTATTGCTTTTCAGAGACAGTGGAAGGGGGAAAAAGAGAAACATCGATGTGAGAGAGACACATCTATTGGTTGCTTCCCACTCAGGCTCTGACCAGGGCCAAGGATCGAGCCTGCAGCCAAGATACGTGCCCTTGGCCAGAATCCAACCTGGGACCCTTCAGTCCATGGGCTGACGCTCTGGCCACGGAGCGGAACTGGCCAGAGCCAGTGAGAACTCTTAATTGATGACGACACAAGTGAAAACAAGGCTGGAGCCAATGATTCACTGTGTGATGTGAACACAGGAAATGATACACTTTCCAGAATTGTTACATTATTAGGGAGCTACAATTTTCCAGGCTATGTTGAAAAGTCAGTTTAGGAAAAGTCCCATGGAAATGCAGGCCCCAGAACACGGGAGTGAGGTCTGGGCCTGGCGTCCTGTTGGCTGGAGCACCTGCCCCACACCTTCAGGGAGCTGTTCTGGACAGATGGCTTAAAGGTGGGTGAGAAGGGCACACCCTGAGCCCCACCCATCTCAGCGCAGGCAGCAGACTTCACAGCACAGCCAAACACAGCGCAGCCACCTCAGGGCTGTGGCATCAGCACCCAGGCAGCACCTAAAAATGCAGACTCTCAGGCTACCCAGACCTTCTAGTTTCCTCAAAGTCTCCGGGAGACTCACAGTGCCCTCAAGTCTGACCCCCGGGCCTCAGCCTTGTCTGAACACTGCAGCAACCTGAGGAGTCTCCAAACCTGGAAGGTCCAGGTCCTGCCCACGTCTAATTCAGTCCTGGGCCTGGTGCCAGCTTGTTGAAGGTTCCCTGTGGGTTTCCAGTGGGCATCAAGTTTGAGCACCATTAACAGCGGGGCGCAGAGGTCAACAAACCCTGACTCTCAGGCCAAGCCTGGCCCAGCACTGCTGCTGGATGGCCATGAACTAAGACCATGTTTCACTCTTGGATGCTCAGGAAAGTCACTCTGTTCACAGCACAGAAACACAACAGGGAACTCAAGGATTGGGGTCCACAGCACCATCTGTGGCTGTTCTCACCTGCAGTGCACGGCAGGGCCACCACCAGGAGACCTTGATGCCGGAGGCCCTTCCAATTGAAGGCACAGGGACTCCGGCAGCCTTGCACAGACTGCCTGCAGGTGACAAGGAAGGCACCTGGGAAGATCCTCCACCTGGTCAGGTGGCAGTGGACACCCTACTGTGACCTCACGGGAAACCCTGAGGCAGCTCCCCCATTCCTGACCCGTGGACACCGTGAGATGTGGCTATTTTAAGACACTATGTTTCGAGGTGAGGTGTTACACAACAACAGGTAGCGCACACAAACGTCCACTTAAAACAGGCAGAATGCACAGCTTCAGTTCCAGGGCACCTGGGAACATCAGGATCAGGAAGGTGGGAAAGGCCCTTCCAAACCGAAAACTGAGTAAAAACTGCTGCTGACCCTGCAGCCTGGAGAGGTTTCTGGATTCTCATGGGCACCCCCACCCACCCCCATCGTCAACTGTGTTCCAGGGACATAAAAGAACACACTTGTGAGCCTTGGCTGGTGGCTGAGGCGGCTGGAGTGTCACCCTGCACACCAAAGGCTGCAGACTCAATCCCAGTCGGGGTGAAACAGGAGGCAACTGATCTGTGTTTCTCTCTCACATCGATGTCCTGTCCCCCCCAAAAACCAATGAACATATTCTCAGGGGAGGATTAAAAAACAAAAAAACACTCTCTCAAGCGTGGGAGAGCCAAGCCTGCTGGACAGACTCACACAAACAGTGCTAACCAGGAACCGACCCCTTTCTAGAAACACAAGACACGTCTTCATTTGCAAGAAGGAAGTTGGAAGCTGACCCCAGCAAGATTCACCGTCTTCTACTGAGGGACGCTAGTGAAGGAGGGGCCCGGAGGCAGAGAGGCGCTTCCCAGATCCGTCCCCCAGGGCTGGCCACTGGTTCAACAATTGGTAGCAAATACTAATACCCTTGGATGTAACGTGCCTCCACTCCCAGAGAGAACTAGAAAGACCCAGGCTGCTCCACAGGGTGGACTCTGGGAACAGCTGCCTCAACTCAAGTTTAGGATGAATTATTATAGAACCGGCTCAAACTCACAACAGTAACTGAAGCATTGGGAGAACACCCCAGCAGTCCTGCTTTTCTGATAACAATTCCTCAAACCAGCCAGCACCAGACCCTGCTGGGGATGGGCCTGGGCTTCATGCCCCAGAGGCCAGCATGAAGGGTGGTGGTCAGGGCATCCATCCTAAAACAGGACTCAGTTCGCCCTGTGCCCCTTTAGTGTGACACCAACAGCAAAGCGTGCACAACATGCTCTGGAGGGCGCGTGGAGCGGAAGGGCTCTGGTGTGCAGAATCCCCTGGAGGCTGAAGCCCTGCGTTGTCATGACTGTGACAGGCCGGTGGTGGCGAGGCTGAGCAGCACCTCCTCGTGGACACCCAGGCCCTGTTGTCAGTCGCCACTCTCACAGCCCCCCTTCCTCGGGGACTGTGTGAGCTCTGCACGCAGAGCCCTCTCCCGGTGCTTGTGGTGTCCAGGCACACCTGACTGCACTCTAACGGGCACCTTCATGGGATGTGACGTTTGGCTTAGGAAACTCTCCCCTCTCCCCAAATGACAACGTTCTCCCAGTGCTGCCCTGAGCCTGGGTTGCTTAACGTTTCGGATAGAAACCCCTGGACAGCCCGGCCAGGCGTGGCTCAGCGGTTATGCGTCGGCCTAGGATCCAGGCAATCAGGGTTCGATTCCTGGTAAGGGCACATGCCCGGGTTGCGGGCTGCAGCCCATCAATGACTCTCTCATCATTGATGTTTCTAGCTCTCTCTCTCCCTCTCCTTTCCTCTCTCTGAAATCAATAAAGATATATTTAAAAAAAAAAAAGAAACCCCTGGACAAATTAAGACAGTTCCCTTCTGATACGGGGTTGTATGTATCAAAGAGCAGTGAATTTTATCATATGCCTTTTCTCCATCTATCAGGATAACCATTTAACCTGTGACAGAATAAATTACAGTAATAGATTTTCAAACATTACACCCCCCTTTGCATTCCTGAGAAAAGCCCAACCCCACTCCCCGCCATTGCAACAGTGAACAAAACCAAAACCGGGGGCCTAACCCCTCAGTTCTGTACAACCGAACCAGCCCTCAAGACACAGTAACAGATCGTGCACCCCATGAAAATGAATAAGAAACTACTCAAATGTTTTCACTGCTGATATACTGCTGTCTTTTTAAATATGGAAATAGCCCTGGTGGGGCAGCTCAGTTGGTTACAGCATCGTTGCAGGTTCAATCCCCCGTCAGGGCACATACAAGAATCAACCAATGGATGCATCAGTAAGTGGAAGAACAAATCTATGTCTCTCTCTCTCAGGGGAACAGGGGCTCAGCAGACATAGTGCCCGTGGGCACATGGGTCTGTAAATACAAACATACCCCAAACACAGCTTCAGCACAGCCCCTTAGGGAGACGCTCACCCAGGGCCCAAGCTGAGCACTACGCCAAGTTCCAGCCAAGGGCAGCCCGGCAAGAGCCACATCCTGCTGTCCCTGCACCTTCTCCTCCACAGGTGGTGGAACATTCTAGTAATGCAGGAGTCGAAGTGACTGCTCCCCAACAACGGTTACTTGTCAGGTCTGAAATCCACACAAGGCGCGGGAGAGACTGCAGTAATGCGGAGAGACAGGCAGCTCCTCCCGGGAGGGCAGCTCCTCAGACACACACATGCCCCAGTGAGGATACCACGACCGGCGCAGCACCCACCTCGTCTCGGTGCCGCTGACAGAAGACCAGGAACTGGGATGCAGCATCGCCCTTCCTGCTCCGAGGAGTGGAGGCTGCAACCTTCTTCCTCCCGGGGGGTGACCCCACTCCTCTCCTGGCATCAGCCTCAGCCACTGTGGGAGGTGTCACCCTCCCTGTCTCAGGGCCGCCATCCCGGCTTTCAGCAGAGCCACACAGCTTGGCTCTCTGCCTTCTCTTGACTGGGACACCCTCCTCTCTCCAGGACCCATCTCCAGCAGCTCCTCCGGGGACCCCTACGGGCCCCAGTGCTGCCCCCGGTGCCTCCACAGTGAGGCCTGCCTCCCTGGCCACATGCGGATTCAGGCGGAGCTGGTCCCCCACGTAGAGGAAGGTGAACTTGGCCTTCCGCTCCTCGATGGGCATGGCTGCTGCGGCCTCAGCCTGGAGGAGACCCGTCTCCCACTGCGCCCTCAGCTTCCCTGAAATAGGTTTCAGCAGCTGGAAACAAAACACAGACACTGTCAGCTTCTGAAGTGGATACTTTTACCATTTCAGATAAACTTAGAAATAAAAAACTATAAAAACCAGTTAGCTTGGCCCAGCCGGGCATGGCTCAGTGGTTGAGCATTGACCTAGGATCCAGGAGTTCATGGTTTGATTCCCGGTCAGGGTACACGCCCTGGTTGCGGGCTCGATCCCCAGTCGGGGGCATGCAGGAGGCAGCCGATCAATGACAACTCTCTCATCATTGATGTTTCTATTTCTCTCTCCCTCTTCCTTTCTCTCTCTGAAATCAATAAAGATATATTTTAAAAAAACAAAAAAACAGCTTGAAGGTTTCACAAAGCTCAGCCCAACATAATAACTGTTTCTTTATACTAGAAATAAACTTTAATCACGTTTACCCAACGTAAATGCACATGTTATGTACTTATCTCTCCATAAAGGAAAGTAATTATAGTACAAGTTGTCTCCGGAAGTCATCCACTGAGTAAAGGAGGCGTGCTGTATTTTGTAATACCAAACGAACAGCCTCCTCGGGCAAACGTAACAAGCATCAGGCACAAGGGGCTGTCCCACTGCCTCAGCCACCCGAAGTTCAGAACCAGGTCAGTCCCGGAGGAGCATCTGCCACCTTGATCTTCTCTGCCTTAGTGGGTGCCAGCCTGGCGCTCTCCTGGCACAGCCTCTCGAACTGCCCTTCTCCCTCGAAGGCCGCCAGGCTCTTCTCAAATATCCACGCTCTCTCTGGGGCGTCACCGAAGAACTGGACGTGGTACTGGCGTGCACTCTTTTTCTGACCTGGTTTTAAAATAAAATGTTAGAAGCTAAGGGCTGGAATCCAGGATGACATTAGGGAATCTGTGACTAGCACGGATGCGGAGCCACTCTGCCTGGGGCTGTGTTGCCTGAGCAGGATCTACCTTCACCCACCGCTCGGGCCGGGGAGGGGCACCCAGGCAAGGCTCAAAGCTGCCTGGGAAGAAAGCTGCCCAAGTGACCTTCACCTCCTCCTTTCCAGATCCACTTAAAGATACCAAGTGAACAAGACAAGAGACGACATCCCAAAAGGACCACTGGACAGAGACGGGACTAAACAGCAGTGAAGGGGCGCAGGCTGGGTCAGACGACCTGGGTAAAAAGCCCAGGCCCACCTTCTACTGGCTGGCAGACTTGCTGGCCACTCACTCCAGAGCTCAGAGTGTACACCAGTGTCCTCCGAGGGCAGCCAGAGGCCACGGAGTAACCCTGCAGATGTCCACTGCTGTTGCTCTCAGCAGAGAGGCGTGAGCCACACCCTCCAGGGCAGCCCCAAAGCCGAAGAGAGGGGATGCCAGACTGGGCTGAGGTGGAACAAGGTTGAAAGTGAGTGCTAAGTCAGATCTCTGCACCAGTGGGGAGGGAGAAAGGGGTCTCCGGTGGGGAAATGCCAGTCCTTGTTCCTTCATACAGAACGCTGGCCACCAGAAATCAAAGGACGCTGTTGGAGATCCCCGGATGAAGCAGCCAACAGGCAGCCAAACCCTCTAATAAGCTAACAGCCTCCTCCCCCCACCCAATACACATGGGCCGCAGGCTGCTCGGAGCACTGCCCCCTCACACACGAGCCACCACACAGTCCCTGCAGGGCCACAGACATAGCCAGGAGATAGACCTGACGGAAACACCCTCGTTTGCTATGAAAAGGGAAGAAAGAGCTACTAGAAAATTTTAAAGTACAACATGAAAGTACAATTCAGTAAGAAAGCTTGGAAGGTGAGTTAAGAAATCTCCCAGGAAAAAGAAGGACCTGCTCCCACAACAAACCACAGGACCAGTTGAGGGGGCACGACGCCCAACAATCGCCTTCAGGAGGGAGGAACAAGAACAGTCTTACAGCTAACACATCCCCAAGAGCCTCACCCAACACCCATGCAGGGGCACCTCTCTGTGACATTCAGGCGGGGGGAGGGCAGCTTCCACGTTCACGGAGTGACAAGTGGAGTGACGAGGTACTTCAAGAGCAATGCTGGACGCTAGTAGGAAATGGTTCTGAGAAAAACTATTCTCAACACACAATCCTATACCCAATGAAACCCACCCATCAGGCAGGAGGACTGAGATGTCATGTCCTCTGAACCACGGACTCCAATGCACCTCCGTTCAAACCAAAAAAGTACTCCACCAAAACAGGGAAACTGACCAAGAACGAGACCATGTGGAACCGCAGAAAACAACGCCTGACACAGAGAGCGTCTTGTGTCTGAGATCAGGGAACCCCAAGGCTGAGAGTGTCAGCAGCACAGACAAAGCGGAAAGGGGACGAAAGATGAGAGGGGTCTTCCACACCCAGGGGACCTGGGCAGCAAGGAAAGAGGCTGAAAGATGAGATCTGAGGAGCAGAAATGGAAATAGGAATCAAATACAGGTCATCATCTTTTTTCCAGTAGGAGAAACGCACTATGTAACAGGACAGGTTTTAAGGACAGAGACACTTGAAAAAAATTAAGGCAGCCTCTCCAGGCGTGGCTCAGTGGTTGAGCGTTGACCTAGGATTCAGGCAATTGGGGTTTGATTCCTGGTCAGGGCCCATGCCCAGGTTGTGGGCTTGATCAATGACTCTCTCATCATTGATGTTTCTATCTCTCTCTCCCTCTACTTTTCTCTCTCTGAAATCAATAAAGATATATTTAAAGAAAAAAGTTAAGGCTGTATGGACAGCAAAGTGTATGACTTGAAAAGAAAGTCAGTAATTAACTCCAGGAAAAACAAAAGGTTGCATAAGAAAAATACAATTGCAGCACACAACATGGTTTTTCTGAGTGATATGTACATAGTCAAAATTACGTAAGCACTTACCGTTTGATAAAACCCATGAGATAATTATATAGGAAAATGGGAGGGAAGAAATAGGAAATGACTGAAGAGATCAACTTTCATTTTCCACAGAAAGTCAACAGAAAATGTCCAAATCATAAATAAAAAAATAGCAGTTAAAACTAAAAGAAAATATCGAAAGAATTAAGAGTAATTAAGTCCTGGGAGTGGAGGGAACGGTTTTCACTATTGGCCTCTCAGAACAACTTGATATGTTCATAAGTGTGTGTGCTTCTTTGATTTTAAATCGGCTAAGACTCAAAAATATGCCAGGTGACTTGTGACTTCTTCCATTACATTTTTTTAATTTACTCAGGGATATGTTTCTATTGATTTGAGAAAGAGAGAGAGAAACATTGATGTGAGAGAGAAACACCCATCGGCTGCCTCCCCTACACGCCAGGACTGGGGACTGAACCCACAACCTAGGTATGTACCCCAGCCAGGAACTGAACCCGCGACCTTTTCGTGTACGGTGTTCCAACCAACTGAGCTACCCGCCAGGGCTCTTCCATTACTTTAATATTCTGAAAGGGCTTTCCCTGGTCATGACCGTGAACGCAGACACATGGCAGAGCACTTGCCTGACGAAGAGAATCTGTACAGTGTGTATGATGAAATAATATGAACTTACATCAGTTTAATGAACAGTTAGTGACACAGAAAATGCTCCTCACATCAGGTGGAAAAAGCAAAGAGAATATGGTAGTCAGTCAGATCCGAAGTTTGCAAAATAAATGTTAACATTTTTTAAGTTATTTCCTGCCTAGAAATTTGGTAACAATGTAACCCAGCTCCTATTTTTTATGGGTTTCTTTAATCCACATGAAACTTATTTTGGTGCAGGTTGAAAGGTGAGTAAGTCATTTGTTTTATTTTACCACATAATTCACCAGCTGTCTTACCACCATTTATAAGTAATCTTCCTTCCTGTGCCAATTTCTTACGTTCACCAATCACAGCTGCTGGTATGAAAGTGCGTGTCATTGACTCCCCAACCTGCACACCTCCCAGCAGAACGTGGCTCCACCCCAGGCCCAGGTACCTGACTTGGCACTGGATGCCTTTCCTCCGTCACGGCCCACTGGACTCCAGGTGGCCCCGACCCCCCTGGCTAGCCTGAGCCCATCTTTCTCTGGACTCTGGGAGCCTTTGAATTGACAGCGGCCATTCAAGTTTGCAGAATGGACCCACAAAGAGACTAGGCTGCCTCAGAGCTGAAGGTAGGGGAGGGAGTGAAGCTACAAAGATGCAGACAAGCCAAGTGTCTACAGAAGAGCAGAGCACAGGGACAGTCGCAGGGACATGAGGCCAGAAGCCCATGGGAAACAAAGGGTAGAATCCCCACACCTGGGTTTCCTAGGTCAGGCTCTGGAGAGCACCAGCCCAGAACAGGTAAAGCAGAAACTGACAAAACTGCAAGGAGAAAATGGCGTGCCCACTGTCACAGTGAGAGATTGTAATGTACCTCTCTTAGCAGCTGACAGAACAAGCAAAGATTAAAAGTCAGTAAGGAGAAGTTAACGTCAAATAACCCAGGACTGAAAAGGCCAGACTACCTGTAATATTTTTAGAAAATGCTGAGTTTAGGAATAAAGCAACGAGGGTTCCATTCCATAAAACAGAAAAAGTGACGACAAAAATCTACACAACAGAAAATCACTTGATTCCAGACCCATTTTCTAAAGAGAAGACAAGTAGGATGCAGCTGTGCCGGGAGACGTGAGCCTCCTGACGGAGCAGAATCCGCTGGACTCACAGTGGAACCTAAAGCGCACATTGATGTTTCCAAGGCAAAGCTGTAGTCCACCCAGACACCCCACCCCACCCTGCCCCGGGAGACGTGGCAAGAGGTTCTGCTGCTCCACATCATAGAAACACGGTAAGACTTCCACTGACTGTGATTCTCAGAGGAACCTGGCTGGCTGCAGCTTGTAAGCTGTCTCCTCTGCACGCATTCTGAACATCAACTCTAAACCTCAGGGCATCACTGAGATCCAGATTCAAGCACAGCCACAATCCCAAGCATGATAAATGTAAACAAGTACACACACACGCGCGTGCAGAGAAAAAGGGAAAAGATTTGGGTGGGGATAGGGGTAGGCGAGGGGGAATGCCTGCTTCACAAGACCCCATGCTCAGCCAGCTGCGCGTAGAAGCTGGCCCTCCTCATGTCCCTGTCCTTCCCCAACCAGGACATCCAACGCCCAAAGGGCGATGCCATGTTCCATCCCCTCCTCCCACCATCAGGTGCTGCATGCCAAGCAGTGGAGAATCAGGAATGGGCCACATCTCCTATAGCCATGAACACAGCAGGGCCCAGATCTGGGCTCCCACACACCACCCTCCACTAAGAGCACCTACATTTCCTTTGAGAAACAGCGAATCCAGGACAGGGGTTTAGGGGACAAACGAAGTACAAAATGAGCCTGGAACATCTTGTTGGGCCACATGCAAGGACGTGCCCAGGGCTGGTGGAGACGCCTAAGGACACAGCTGAAAAGGACCCAACAGTCCCATCTGGGACAACCTGAGCATTGCAGTGAAGGACTTAACACGTAAGTAAATTTTCAGAATGGGGCTCCTTGCGCAGAGCAGTGCCACCTAGCATGCCAGAGACAGCAGGACAGCCCCCAGTGCAGAATCTGGTAAGTCAACAGGCACCAAGACCGGGCAGGCTGTCAGGGGCCCGGTCCCCAGCATGGCCACAGACGTCAGCTGATGGCAGAAAAGACTGTGCCTCGCCCTGGGGAGTTCCGGTGCAGAACAGCTGACACCGGGGAGTCCCGATGCCCAGCCTCCCAGCGCCTTTGTCCTCTGTCACCCACACTCTTCCCAGGGCTACTGTGACCCTTTCTTCCCAAAGGCCACTTGACTCTCCGTCCAGCTGGGGGCTGGTCACCGCTCTCTCCCTTCTGAGCTGCTTTTCAGATGCCCGTTATCAGTCTTGGGAAGCAGATCTGCCTGTGAGTCGAGGGCTTCCTCCCCGACACCCCAAAACAACTCTGAGGGAAGCTCCCTGCCAGGGCTGCTGCCTCTTGTTCCCACAAGAGCCCCTTCCCACAAAAACACCTACACCTGTTCCTGCCAGCCCGGCAGCCTCGCCCAAGTCTGATCCCCAGAGACCAGAGCAGCAGAGAGAGGCAGGGCCTGACTCAGTCCCAACAAAAGAAGTGTGGGGAGAAGGCTGACCACTGGGGAGTCCCAGCCAGGACCGGGGGGAGGGGCGACATCACTGATGTGCTGTTCCCGAAGTATGGCCAGGGTGCTGAGTCTGTGGGGAGCTGCCCTTGTTCTCAGAAGACCCCGCTGGACATATTTAGGGGCGAAGGGCTGTGATGTCCACAGCCTACACCCGGGTGGGTTAACAGCAGGATTGTTCACATACAGAGAGAGAGAAATGAGACAGGTCCAACAAAGCCTTTAGGCTAGCACGCCTAGGTGAGGGTAGACAGCTGTCTACCACACTGTCCGGGCCTTGAAAGGTTTTTAGATAGAAAAACAAGCCAACAATAAACAAAACACCTCTCTCTCTCTCTCTCTCTCTCTCTCTCTCTCTCTCTCACACACCCACACCCACACACCCACACACACACACACACACACACACACAGAATCCCACATAACCACTTGGCGCTGTTGTGGAAACTGGGGATACCTGGTGACAGAAAGGCCCTAAACATGGACATGAAACTATCAGAACTCAATGGCCAAACACCAGGGTCCTGCAGAGAGGTGACTGGTTGAACAGGAAAGTTTTTGAGAGAGGCCCAAGGCAACGGGGCCAAGGGAGGAAACACCACAGGAGTCAGGCTCTGAGAGGAGAAAGGAGCGATGGAGGCGGCGGCTCCCCCGCATGCTCCCCAGTCACTGTGCCAAGCCTCTCTAAACAGGCGGTGTAGTGACACCCTCATCTTCCTGTGGAGGGAAACTGAGGCCCACAGGTGTCCAGTCAGTCCTTCCCAGGTGACACAGCTAAGTGGGACCCTGGCAGGCTGCCCTGGGGCCAGTCCTCCACTGGGACAGGACAGGAATGCCACAGAGCAATAGCACCTGCCAAGTGCAAGCAGGAAGAGGTGCCCAGGAGCAAAGAAACGGGAAGTGGGAGGTGCACAGACCCGGTGGCGCATCTGCCCATCACTGCCGGCCACTGGGGACACAGAAGAAGGTGTGAGGACGCTGAAGCCAGGGTGATTGATGCCAGCAGCCAGAACAAAGAGACATTCAAGAGACTCCTCCAGCTGCACGGATCTGAGACGCCGGAAGCTCCATACAAACAAGGCAGAAATCCCCAGACACTCAGGAACTACTAAGAGGGGATCGTGACGTGCTGTGCAGACAAGTGACATGGACATCATGAAGCCCACACTGACTTCTACTTTGGTCTGCTGTGTAGGGACCAGAGAGCTGGGCAGGAGCCTGCAGCACCTCACACACACCTGGTGTGCCTGCACCCAGGCTACGGAGGTGTGAAGGCCCATCCCCAGCCAAAAGACGGACAGCCCAACTTCCGTCTCAACCAGTACTTCTTTTCATACTCTTCTGGTCTAGATGCCTCTGGGGTGCATGATGTGGTCCGAGGTCCCATGGAAGGACTCCGATTCGGGCGAGCCAAGGATGCTCAAGGTCCTCGCGGAGCCCAGCTAAAGCCGGCCCGAGGATCCTCCCCAGCCACCCCAGTCCCGTGGAGCACAGTGCATGCTTGAGCCTGGGGGAGGAGTCCAACCACCCAGGGCAGAAGACCTGGGCAGGAATGGCAGGGGCACTTGGGCTCAGGGGAGGTCCTCTGCATCCTGAACCCCTCTCCACCAAGTCTCTGTTTGCTAGGGAGGCACTACAATATCCCCCTCCCAGCCACCGCCTGTGCCCACAGCCAGCCTACCAGACCCAAACCTGTGCTGCTACTCTGAGAGCTGAGGCCTCAGCCAAAGGCCATGAGAGGCCACATACGCACATACCCAGGGGACACACAAGGCTGACGGTTGGAATCTTGTCTGGCCACGGCTCTGGTTGCCCACACCGGACAGGTGCACAGGTGCCCGGAGTGCTAGCTCACTCAGTGCACCTGTGCTCCACGCACTGCACCCACCTTCCTCCAGCTACACTCAGACTCGACTCTAGGAGAACTTCTTAAAAAACCTCTAACCACTGGCCGCTTGTTTTTCCTTCCAAAACAGAGGTTATCACGCGCTGAGAGAGTTGTCCAATGACTTAAATTGTCGTCTGCTCCGATGTGGATCAGTCACGTATTATATTCTTAGTGTTGACTGTTCCACACACTGATTCACGCTCCCACATTTCATGACACCAAAGATGATCATTTCTAGTTTCTTCCCTTCTTTCCCCAGGCCTAATAAAATTAACTGGGACATTTTTACAACTCAAACTTAGTATATACTATTTCTAAAAATTATGCTAAAATAAGCAACCACTGTATATCTAAATACAAAGTATTTGTCATAAAACCTGACACCCCATACAAGACAAAGACCACTTCTTGAATACTAACTCACTGGAACAAAGCCCACATCCGAGTCACCGCTGCACCCATCACTAACTTTAGGCAAAGCCGCAAAAATGGGCCAGAGTAAGCTCAACAACGACAAACACAAACAACCAGTTCAGGCATGAGCAAAGGACTTAAACAGGCGTTTCTCCAGAGAAAATACACACGTGGCCAATGAGCACAGGAAAAGATGCTCAACACCACTAATCATTAGAAAAATGCAAATAAAAGCCACAGGAG